GCTTCTTAGAATTGCCAAGGACAATCCACAAACCAAATTTGAAGTTCATATGTAAAGTATTTCTCAAGTTATCGCGCTGACAAAATTTCTATTGTTTCAGCCACTGTGACCTTGACCCTTGACCTTTCAGCCCCAAATGCAAAAGGCTTCTTAGGATTACCAAGGACAATCCACAAACCAAATTTGAAGTTCATATGTAAAGTATTTCTCAAGTTATCGCGCTGACAAAATTTCTATTGTTTCAGCCACTGTGACCTTGACCCTTGACCTTTCGGCCCCAAATGCAAAAGGCTTCTTAGGATTACCAAGGACAATCCACAAACCAAATTTGAAGTTCATATGTAAAGTATTTCTCAACTTATCGCGCTGACAACATTTCTATTGTTTCAGCCACTGTGACCTTGACCCTTGACCTTTTGGCCCCAAATGCAAAAGGCTTCTTAGAATTGCCAAGGACAATCCACAAACCAAATTTGAAGTTCATATGTAAAGTATTTCTCAAGTTATCGCGCTGACAAAATTTCTATTGTTTCAGCCACTGTGACCTTGACCCTTGACCTTTCGGCCCCAAATGCAAAAGGCTTCTTAGGATTACCAAGGACAATCCACAAACCAAATTTGAAGTTCATATGTAAAGTATTTCTCAAGTTATCGCGCTGACAAGATTTGTCCGGACACACACACCCACACACACACCCACACACCCACCCACCCACCCACCCACCCACGGAAGGACAAGGCGGAAACAGTATGCCCCTTCGGCTTCGCCGCGGGGCATAAAAATCAGAACAAACATAAAAGGCTTTTCCGCAACTTTGCAGAAAAGCCAAAAATCAGAACTGAAAGAAAGGCTTTTCCGCTTTTAAGCGGAAAAGCCAAAAAATCTTAACATAAACAATGGCTGTTCAAACAAATATCTTTACAAAAACCAAGGCCGTTTTGTCAATCTGGTGATATACACAATGCAGTGCGCCACCAAGGGTTTGCCACGGAGAGTTCATTTTTCCCAGTGCATTGTGGGAGATGGTCATCAAATTCACAGCGCGGGACATTTGAAATTGTTACTTTTTCCAGTCAGTGGTTTTCGTAAGCGTATGATTTGAGGATCTGTTTGCCCGTTTCTTTTGTTGTTATCAATATGGTGTTTTTTGTAAGGCGGCAGAACGCTATGCCCCAATCTATGACATATTAGCTCAAGTTGTCTACCGACACTCATTCAAATGGGCCATGTTTTGTCGACAGTAAACTTGAAAAATGGACTCTCCGTGGCAAACTCTTGGTGGCGCACTGCTTTGCGAATCGCCCGAATTGCCGAACAGCCAATAACTGCAACTTTGCCGCGACCCAATTTGTATGATAATGGCAGTCTACTGTGCATAGAATGTGCCACTGGGTTTCGCAGAGTGGAAGGTTTAATCCTTGCGAAACTTGCAAGGGAGTTTAGGGGACCCCCCCCCCCCCCCCAAGTCTCCGGTTTCTGGGAAGCGCGCATCACAGTTGCCATGCGCGTCAGCAAAATTAAAAACTTTTTTTTCAATGTAAGATGATGTCTCAAAACCGCCAAACTCACTGGTTTGACTGGAATCCTGCTGCTGCACAATTTTAACGTGTTTTTAGATGGGGTAACGATCGAGTATAAGTTTTACGTAGCCTCTCTGAGCTCCCATACATTTAAACTAAGTTTAGTCGGCACCATTTGCAGACGGTGTTGTAATTTTGTAATTGTGCGTCTGGAAGCCTGACTGAGCGAGCGATAGTCATGTATCTGGAACCTGTAAATGCTTTTTAATTAGCGCCATATGTAAGGTATGAGATCCGGAATGGGACCATTTGAGAACCGGGCGAGCAGAGCCCGCCCAATAAGCTGCTGCCCGCTTCGAACGCTGTTCCCGCCCGGTTACTCAAGCGTGACGCTCGGTTGGCTGCTGGAGTGGCCCTCTGGGTCACAACAATAGCTGCTAAACAGATTAGTGGTTATTGTTCCGAGGATTACAGTGCCCATCTGAGTTAGGGTTGGTTTGGAAGACACCTGGCTATCATTATATTTTTGCTGAAATTTATTCTTTTTTACGGAAGCCCGTTCGTGCCAGATTTTAAAATTAAAAAAATATTTCATTGCGAAATAACGCAATAGTTTTGCGAAATAACGCAATAGTTTTGCGAAATAACGCAATAGTTTTGCGAAATAATGCAATACTTTTGCGAAATAACGCAATACTATTGCGAAATAACGCAATACTATTGCAAAATAAGGCAATAGTATTGTGAAATAACGCAATAAATGTATTGCGAAATAACGCAATAGTATTGCGGAAATAACGCAAAAGTATTGCAAAATAATGCAATAGTATTGCAAAATAACGCAATACTATTGCGAAATAACGCAATACTATTTTGCGAAATGACTTATTGCGAAATAGCGCAATACTTATTGCGAAATTACGCAATACTGTCGTGTACAAACTTCACCCCGGATGTTCAGTTTGGCCTTTATTTGCCCATTTTGATGAAATGTTCTTGAAGTTCCTGTCCGTCATTGCGTTTTTATCCGTTGTGCTCTTTTCGTGGTATGGTTTTGCTTTAAAGGGGCGGTGTGCTGAAAACCAGAAGGCCTATGTTTGATCTTTTCAAAAAACGTTGCCATAATAGAAATTTCTGTGGCATTTTGGGAGGAAAAGGGCAACAAGTTTTAAGGGCTTTATTATCTTTTCACACCCCCCCCCCCCCCCCCCCCCCCCGTATTGATGTGCGTTCTGACTAAAAATGGCCACCAAGCACGCACGCGTGCTAACAGAAGAGAACTGAATGATTCCCTTGCAAATACAAGTACTGCGTTTTACCAATGCACCTGAAGGAAACAAACTTTAGAATGTTAATAATCACTTGAATTTAATGGTGCATCCACAGTACATTCGCACTGTAACAATGCAGGGGAAATTGTACTGATATAATGATACGTTTTGAGGAATGGTTGTTTGGGTTGGGGGGGATGCATCAATAATACGCTCAATATTCCACCACGCTGAAGAAAACTAATACATTTAAACGAATGATAAATACATAAGAATGATTTTCCAACTTTAAAATGTTTTCCCCGCAATAACCCCCTCCCAAAATTACATAACCGGTCCATTCAATATTAACTGATAAAAGGATGCCTTGCATCAAGAATCACTAAAGCCGTACCCTGATATGAATTAGAAAAGTTTTTTTTTAAGCTTGTTAAAGAACTGAACGAATTTTTAAAAGTTTTTAAAAAAGAACTGTACTTTTAAGTCTCTATTTGTTCTTTAAGCTAAAACGTGTTTTATGGGGGTCATTAGGCAGTGGTGGGTTATGGGGATGGTTGGGATGATTAACCATCGCAATACTATTGCGTTATTTCGCAAAACTATTGCGTTATTTTGCAATAAAAATATTTTTTTCACTTTAAAATCTGGCACGAACGGGCTTCCTTACTATTTGAGCTTCATAGAATGCAAGTATTTCGTTTTTGCATGAAACCATTTGACAAATGAACTTAATACAACTGCCTAGTTTGCAAAGTTCTATATATAAATAATGGTTAAAAGCTAGATGATCAAGGTGTGCATTTTTTTCTGTGACTTTTTCGAAATACGAACGTTGAAATCTATATTCTGGGATTGATCAAATGTACGAAATGCCTCATTCTGTATTGAAATAAAGTATTCCCCATATGACAAACATGAATTGTTTTGCCTGTGGTAATAATTTGATGTTTTTTTTATATTTAAGACTGCGACACCGCACTTGCCTCTTATTCACGTTAATTCATACGCATTTTAAACAGAAAAGTCTGATGCCCGTTTGAGATTAGAAGCGGGCGGGCTTGGCCTGCTCTGTAGCCCCCGAACGGTATGAATACTGGCCCCTCTGTTAGTCAAGTGTGATGCTCGGGAGGCGGGTGGGCTTGGCTAAGCGCCTGACTAACTTGCAGTTGGTTTGCTCTGGCTATGATTATCTGCAGAATTTTCTTTGCTATATACATGTAGTATGGAATGACAGCATTTTTTTTGCATAAACACATGTAACTGTATGGGTTTTACTAATTGTTTGACGTACAACATTTTTTTTTTTTTTCAAGCTTTGAGTTTTTCTGATCGCTCAAACTGAACTATATTTTTCAATAGGCCTACCAAGGTAATGAGTGACTTAACAATAGCAGTCCACGGGAGGGATTACCGGCGGCACGCCCTTTGATTTGCCGTTTTTTTGTACCCTGGCAGTGCGGATTATCGCCTTGCAAATTGCTTCTTTTGTTAGGTTCAGGACAGGACCCACGAGTCAGACTTGTACTTATTTCTCTTAATCCGAGCCCGCCTGGCAGCACATGCACGATGTTGGTGTTGCTGCAGTGTATGGTCTGTATGTTACCGTTTTCTCTGATTTTTGTCTTGACTATCCAAATTTCCCGAAGAATGTTCGTGTCGGTCGAGATCGTAAGTGGGTACAGAATTCTCAAGCCTTATGTCCTTATACATGTACTGCTTATAATGAGGTCACCTCAAGCTCCACCCTGAAGGACTTTAAAGGGGATCGAAGGGTCATCTGCAACATCAGCCGACATTTGAAGAATAAAAAAGTAGGGAAGAAAAAAAAAGTAGGGGAAAACACAAAAACGATTCGTCGCCGCACCACTTTAAGGGCAAGCTCTATACCAGAAACGGAAGGCTGTTTTTTGGCCTTAAATCGCAAACTCAGCGCAAAGAATTTTTTTTATTCAAACACTCATTTTTTATCCTTGAGTCCATTTCAATTCTAATCATGATGTCAACCAAAATTGAACACAATTTCCTGTTTTACATTTTTTCCTGAGCGTTTGTAATGAAAAAAGTCAAGCTGTGCACTTCAGCTTTGGAACTGTCACGCAAGTTTTCTCCTCAATTCTCTCAAATACTTCACAGAATAGGAGGTTTCCATCATGAATTGATTTCTGGTTAGGAATGAGCAAATCCTTCACTTGGAAATGACAAACATACCAATTGCACCAAAGAAGAGAGCGGCAAAGAAATCCCGTATAGGTTCAACCAAACCACGAATATCCTCAGCCGTAGCATGCCCCAAAGAGCTCAGGATGACGCCAGCTAGGAAACAACCCAACTCCATGGATACACCTAACAGGTCTGTGATCTGCAGGAAAAGGAACAAACTATCGGAGGGGTATGCGATTTTGCAAAAGTTTGCGAAGTGACCATCATTGAACGAGAATTCTATCAGTCGTGCAAAGCACACTAATATACTATGATCGCCACCCGCCCGCCCATTCGTCCTATATCTATATCTGCCAAATTCCTTGTCTGATTTCAGCCAAATCTGGACAGGAACATCCTTGACCCGAGTCCTATCTTAAGTGACCAGCATGTGGGGTCAAAAGGCACCTAATGGTCATTAGTCTTAAAAAAAAAACTTCTCGCACAATCTTGACCCCATTAATGTCAAACTTCGTCAGTTACATCTTTGGACCAAGCTTCTTATGGGTTGTTCACAGAATTTGGCCAATGGTCACCTTATGGTCAGTAAGGGTCATTTTCTTCAACATTTTGAAATGCTTCTTCTCCCCCAGTCTTGATCCAATAAATGTCAAACTTGGTCAGTTATATATCTGAATCAAACCTAGGGTGAACTTCATCAGGGATGTTCAAAGGGTCAGTAGTGGTCATTTTCCAAAAAAAGTTTCTTTTCTGTTAAAATGCATCCCTGGCCCAAGCTCCTTCTTGGTTGTTCAAATTTTGGGGTCACCAAGTGATCAGTAGGGGTCAATTCGGGAAAAATTACAAAATGCTTCTTCTCTTACATTCTTTTGCCAATTTCAGCCAAACGTAGATGCTTTTACAATTTGGGAGCAATGATCACCTTGTGGTCAGTGCGAGTCAGTTCAGACAAACTTTTCAAAAGGCAATTTAGGTTGATATCCGTACTTCGTGAGGCACATTCCTATAGTCATGCTAGTGGTTTTAGTATGCAGTAACGACCATATGGAAAATAATGGTGTATTTGCAGAAAGTGTTATACTCTCTAACAAGCAAAGCCCCAAATCAATCATGCACAATACTACGGATTAGGAGTGTGCTTTTACAGGTAATTTTAGAACCAGATTGACTTGTGATTGATTCGCTTACAACTCTGACTTTTGATGTGACAATTAGCTTTCAGTTCAGGCCTGGCTTACCATAAGCATGTTGAAGGTCAGAGCCACACTGCCCATGATTAGCATTTCTTTACTGCCGGACATTCGAAGCCTTTGCATGGCAACTGGCATCACATAGCGAGTCACAGCAACACTAAGTAAAACCACAGCGCCAACAGCTGTAAAACACAACAACACAACAATCAGAAAAGACAAGTTACTGGTTTGCTTCCGATCATCAATGAAATAATGAAATGTGAAGCATATGGTCAGGATTCTGGTTGTCACCCTTCCAATTGTGGTGTCAAAGGTAAATCCCCCCCCCCCCCAAGGTGTTTGGTCATCTTCAACGGGACTACTTATTGAGTGGTCGGGCACAACCCGACCACTGTTTAGAATTGTTCTGACAAATCTTTTTTGTTTGGTTATTTCTTTCTTTCTTTCTTTTCCCAGACAACACTTCTCCGCAGTTTCCTCCTAAACAGTTTATGGTATGAACTTGTAACTTTCAACTTATATCGACCCTCATCCCAAGTGGTGCATATTACTCTGACGTTATGATGACCTCATCGGGTGTCAAATTACAAGCAATGAAAGATTTCTAGATTTAATCTTTGAAAATCATATAAAATCAACCATGAGAGACCTGAACTTGACTTTTGATAGAATAATCCAGGATCTTCATTTTATCTCGTGTGTGTGTCTAATCACGTGACCCTTCCTTTCGGCCCAAACCGGAAGTGCCTTGCAATTTGAAATTGGAAAAAGATGTTAACTTGCTTTCAACAATGTTAGTCTCTGACTAGGTTGTACTTTAGAAAAAAATTACTGGTGACGTCATAAAATGTTAGAGTGCCCTCTAGCGGCAGGTTCAAAAATGTTTAAAATGATTTTCAGTTGATTATTGCGGTAAAGTTCATGACATATGAAATAGATGTGAGCCCGGCCACTTTGCATTTTGTAACTCAAAAAACGCGAACCTCTAGTTAAGAGAGTAATTGGTACACCATTGTGGCACATCTAGCGCCTTTTATATCGTTGGAACTCTAATCCTTTCATCACAACCTCTTTTTCTGGTCCCGTCTTGGCCGGCCACCCAGTATCTCTTTTGTCAGTGTATTCCAGGGATTAGTAATGCCCCTTGCCTGTGCTCACTGGAAGGCATCGGCAGGCAATGGCATGCACTGGCACTCAAAGGAACACAAGAGCCAGTGCCTTTGAGGGCAATTGCATGCAGACCAGTGCACACGGGGTTGCACACATGAGCGGGTGTCCGCACGTGTGCACATGCAAATCCGAATTAATCCACAGTCCCTTAACGTTTGGCACAGTGATGAAGTTATGGCTGCCCCAGCAGCAATTTCTCATAGGCATGAGACCTAAACAGTCATCCAGCAATTTGAAAAGGACTGGAAGGTTCTGGTCCACAAGTGATGGATCCTCAGAGACATGTGTAAACACATCCGAAAGAAGAATGGAGAAACTTGAAGGTTTGGCTCAATGGCGTATTTGATGATCTAATTTTTCTAGAGTTGTATTTAGGTCTCTTGTACGTTTGTCAGGAAACATTTTTCTTGATACAGTTTTCTGAAAGAAGTTTGTCCTTAACTTCAGAGGAAATGAAACAGTAAATACAGTCCTTGAACCCTGCTATACAACAATGATGAATCTGTCGTCAAGGTTTATGTACATCCATAGACCTTGACAATAGAAGGCACTGGCCAGTGACTTGTTCACAATTCTGGGGACGACCCCGAGTCTGGCATGCATTTGTGTCCGACTTAGGGGCACTCAAGAACTCCAGGCAGTAGCCGAGTGAGACGGTGTCGACTTGCCAGAGAAACGCAGAGAAACCAAGGGCTGGGGTGAGCAAACTTGAATCGCCGCCCGGAAAGGCGGGGGGGGGGGGGGGGGGGGGCCTGGCACCCGGATAACCAGATATTGGGGCCATGGATACGGCCAAGGCCACGCCGTGGAGTAATGGCGGGCACGGTTGCGTGGCCGGCTGTATTTTAGGTGTTTCTGAATTACTTTGGGGCCCCATGGATGACATAATTGCAGCACAGGGGAAACCCATATACATGTAAAATGATCGGTTAAAACCGGACGGCAGCAAAAGTAGTAGGGACATCCGGAACAACAGTGCGGCGGCCGGAACAATCTTGGAACGGCCAGAGGACTAGTTTTGAAACAAGCAATAGGCCTATCAAATGAAGGATGTATTGCTCTGGTGTTCTAGTATAATTTACTAGAGCAGAATGAGACGCCTGAAGCGTCACACCATGTAACTGTGAGATAACGAAATCGCTGGTTAATACATGTACACGTAAAGCCCCAAAAATTTGGTGTAGCGTGAGGGATTTGCTTAAAGCGAAATATCACACTTAAAAGGCGAAAGCACCGAGTAATTGGTAGAACGTGAGGGTTTTGCTTTTACGTGATATTTCGCTGTAATAAAGCGAAATCTCACGTTGGCTGGTCGCGAAGCTGTACGTTGGAGTTAACAACTTGCAGTCAATGTTAATAAGTCCTGCTCGTTGAACAACACAGCTATGAAACGAAACTGCCAGTAAAAATAACGGCGTTCGTTTAGAAGATGAAAACACCGAAAGTTTGGTGCAGTGTGAGGGATTTGCGAACAGTGAAATATCCGCAGACTGTTGAAAGCGAAGCAACTAAAATTCGAAGTGGTGTGAGGGATTTGCTAAGTAGCAAAATATCACACTTGTACAGCAACACTGCTGTAAGACATCAAAAGTTGCCATGTAAATAACAGCGAAACGCCAGGTAAATAGAGGCATTCATGTTGGTGTGACGGATTTGCTAATTAGGGAAAATATCACACTGATTGGACAGCAACTTGTAACCTAGGTAAGGGGAAAGTGGCTTGCAACTCATGCGAAACTCGCCCCATATAAAGTCTCACTCGTTCAGTACAGCAAAACAGCTGTGAGACAACGAAACTGCCGGTTAAATAGCATGGTATTGTCGGGTAAATAACCGCAGTCGTTTTGAAGATGAAGACTCCAAATACATGTACATGTAGTCAGTGCAGCGTGAGGGATTGGCTAAGTAGCGAATATCACGCTGATGGGTCGGTTAGCAGTGGGTGAGCAGCTTACAAAATTTAACACTATTATTCATCCGATTGGTTTCAAACTTGGTACAGACTAAAACCACAATAAAATAATGAGCACTGCCGAGTATTGTTACGATGACGTCATCACCGGGCATGTGACGTCATCATGAATCTACATTTTTCAAAGTTTTCTGTTGAGAAAACTATCTGACTGATTGGCACAAAAGTCTGTATGCACGTAGTCTGACACGTGTTATGGAGGGAAATTAAGCTAGAGTCATGATAAAAACCATTAATTCGATCTTTAATGAGATTTAATTTGATACAAAAATCCATCTTTTTCAATGTTTTTTCAAGCATGAGAATCTCCTGCAGATCTGTGGGTAGTACACCTGTTTGGAGGAATTTTATGATCTTACAAACGTACACTTGTGTTCAATTTGTTCGTGATCGTCACTTAATCATTTTTAATACATCCTCCACAAGATATCTGGCAGATGCATCTTATGCAACATGCGGCCGTAAGCGCACGTCAATTGGCGATGGGAAAATTGTACGCAGCCCGCCCGCGAATTATCTTTTCCCAAACTACATCCACATATGTCTACTTTTATGATACGTACGCAGGTGTATATAATTATTTTCCCCCACGTTTTGGCGAGCAGTGCGATAGCTCAATCAATACAGTCGTGATTCTGCACCGCGAGGTTGCAGGTTCGAATCACCGTTTTGTATCCGATTTTTTTTTTCTTTTCTAACCTCAGCTTCGGAGGATTTTTTGTTACAGGGAAATATAGTCCGAATGTCGTTACGTTAAGATGGCATCACTCACACGTCTGCCCGAACGGTAGGCAAACCGGACAGGGTCAGTGTAAGCCTCAGTCTTAACCAAGATAATATCCTTAATTACACTTTCAAAACATTTCATAACTGACGATGTGAGAGCATTAGGTCTAAATTAATTCATAACTGTGGGTTTGGGTATTTTTGGAATCAGTATGACAGTTGAGGTTTTCCTAATTTTGGGAAATGAAATATGAAATACTATACAGTCTATGAAAAACAGAAGACAGTAGGATTTCAGGATTCTCCCAGAAACACCATTCGGGCCTGATGCCTTGTTACCCTTGATATGCTTGGAGGGTTTCTCAATCGCTGGAACGCTGATCGTCTCGAAGAAGATTGTTCACTTTCTTATTTTGCCTTTTTTTTGGACAAATTTAATTGATCATGAACTTGACTAATTAAAGGTAACATTGTTCTCATACAAGGGCTGGTTGGATCGTCATAAAACTTGGCGGGAAGTCAGATGATGTTATTTGCAGGCAAAATCCGAAGTGACGCCATAATGACATAATCGATTGATTTCTTTGCAATTTTTGTTTATGAATTTCCAAATATACTTCTGAAATATTAACAAAAACAAAATGCAGAAAAGTCTATGTCCTGTTCATCGAACAGGCATAGCTCTACTTTCCTTACTTTTTCTTTTTTGTTCTAACCCAAATCCCATAGACTTTGTACATGATTTATTCAGCACGGCACTTTGGACCTAAAACAAACTCGTATTCTAATGAAACTTACCATATGTAAGGATCCTATAGTGAGCTTGTGTCCCGAATAGTGACGTCATGATTACGTCATCATGGGTCACGTGACGTCATCCTAAACTTGCAAACTTTAAGACCCTATATCTAAATAACTGTACGTTCGATTGGGTTGAAACTCGGTATGTAGGTAGACCGGGATGTTTTATAGGTAAAAATTGAAATGACATCATCATGATGTCATCGTGTGATTTTACATCAATTTTTGAAGATAATCACCATATCTCGCGAACCCAACATGCTAAATTCAAAATTCTTTTTGTATTAGGTTTGTTAGGTCGTACTTATGTGCATAAAAATTATAAATGGGTGACGTCATGATGACGTCATCAAAAATGGAAGACAGAACAAGCTAATTTCCAAATTCTTTTTGTAATAGGTATGTTAGGTCATACTTATGTGCAAAAATTTTTTATACGTGTGTGATGTCATGATGACGTCATAAAAAAATTGAATTTTTGGACTTAAGCCATACCTCATCAACAGAACAAGC